GCTAGAAGTAGCAGACGGAGGGCTGAGCCCAGGTCTCCTGGCTCAGAGCTCCTGGCCACCGGTGCCTGCCTGGCCACGCCGTGGGGTCTGTGGGTGTGCACAAGAGGGCAGCGGGTGCCCAGGCACCAGGTGACAAGGCGTCTGCGACACCCTGATAGGGAGAGGAAGCCAATGGCAAATGATATCAGAAAAGCAAATGCCAGCCTTGGCTCGGACCCACTGGCGGGCAGATCCCACACCCGGGCTGTGGGTCTTTCACTCTCTGGGCAGGCTCCATCTCCTCCATCTGGACTAAAAAAAGTAATAACTTGTAGCTATTCCTTTCATTATAAAAAGTAAACGTGAACTCCAGTCTGGGTGACAGAGTGAGACTCCAACTCAAAAAAAAAAAAAAAAAAAGTAAAAGTGAGCTGGGCACGGTGGCTCACACCCAGAATCCCAGAACTTCGGGAGGCTGAGGCAGGAGGATTGCTTCAGCCCAGAGTTCGAGACCAGCCCGGGCAACTTGGTGAGACCCCTCATCTCTACAGTAAAATAAAAAATGGCTGGGCATGATAGCGTGCGGCTGTAGTTGTAGCTACTCGGAAGGCTGAGGTAGAAGGATCGCTGGAGCTCAACAGGTCAACGCTGGGGTGGCCATGAGAGTGCCACTGCACTCCAGCCTGGGCAAAGCAGTGAGACTCCAACTCCAAAAAAAAAAAGTGAGGTCATGCCACTGGCCCAAGGGCATACAGATGGGAAGGGCAGAGTGTTCTGAAATGTACAACCTTAGACTGAGCCCTCCCCGACGCGTGTGGGGCTTTCCCCAGTCAAGGCCGCAGTTAAGTCTCCATGCAGCCTCAGAGGAGGCTAGGCAGGGCTGATCACCACCTTCGGGAAGGAGAAAGTGCTTGGCGGGAAGGATCGATGGGGGTTGGGGAGCAGGTGGATGACACCCACTTGAGGGAGCCTCTCAATCTTTTTTTTTTTTTTTGAGTCGGAGTCTCACTCCGTCACCCAGACTGGAGTGCAGTGGCCACTCCCGGCCACCGCAGCCTCGACCTGCTGGGCTCCGGCGATCCTCCTGCCTCGGCCTTCCAAGGAGCTAGAACTCCAGGCGCGCGCTACCACGCCCGGCTAATTTTTTAAAAGTTTTATTGTAGAGATGAGGTCTTGCCAAGTTGCCCAGGCGGGTCTCGAGCCCACGGGCTCGGGCAGTCCACTCGCCTTGGCCTCCCAAAGCGCTGGGATGACAGGCTGAGCCACCGAGCCCGGCTGGCCTCTCAATCTTTAGCGCCCAGAACAGTGTGGGTGCTGAGGGTGTTGACTGATTCACAGCCAGCCCCAGGCCCTTCAGTCCTGCCAGGCTACCCATACTTCCATCTGTCTGTCCATGCTGTCATCCCTGTATCCCTCCATCCATCCACCCACCCACCCGTCTGTCTGCCTGCCGAACCATCCGTCCGTCCGTCTGTCCGTCCATCCATCTATCCATCCACCTACCCACCCACCCGTCTGTCTGCATGCCCATCTATCCACCCACCCACCCATCCATCCATCTGCCCATCCACCCGTCTGTCTGTCTAACCACCCATTCATCTATCCCCCTGTCCACCCACCCGTCTGTCTGCCTGCCCATCCAACCATCCGTCTGTCCGTCCATCCGTGCGTCCATCCATCCATCCGTCCGTCCGTCCGTCCGTCCACCCACCTATACCCATCCCTCCATCCATTCACCCATCCCTCCACCCTTCCAACCTGTTGCTAACTCATTCTCCCACTTATCTCCCTAGCGTCCCCAGGGTGCCTGCCCTGTGCTGGGTGCAGCGGGTGTGGAGACAGATCTGACCCAGCCCTGCTTGCCCGAAACTCACTGCAGAGTGTGGGAGGGTTTCGACCTGCACGAAGCAGCCTGACGGGGGTGGCGAGTTTCTATTTCTGCCTTGGAGAAGGGGTGAAGTTTGGGCATGTTTGCTCAGGAGACAGAGGCAGGTGGACCGAGGCCGCGGTGACAGACAGAACGTGCTGCTCCCAAATGTGCTCAATTGGGCCACCCTGGCACCCCCCAATGCTTACCCCCCCCCCATTTCTCTCCTCGGCACCTACCAGACGTGGAGAGTGGTTATTTATTTATTTATTTTTTTGAGTTGGAGTCTCACTCTGTCGCCCAGACTGGAGTGCAGTGGCCGCTGCCGGCCACCGCAGCCTCGACCTGCTGGGCTCCGGCGATCCTTCCGCCTCAGCCTTCCCAGTAGCTGGAATTACAGGCGCGCGCTACCACGCCCAGTTGATTTTTTGATTTACTATAGAGATGAGGTCTCGCCAAGTTGCCCAGGTGGGTCTCGAACCCATGGGCTCAGGCAATCCACTCGCCTCGGCCTCCCAAAGGCGCGGGATTACAGACTGAGCCACCGAGCCCGGCCCGAGAGTGGTTACTTTAGTTGTTTGCTTGTGGGCTGTCTGTCCCCTCCCGGGAACACAAGATCCGCCAGGGCAGAGACTGGTGTCGGTCGTGTTTACTGAGTGTCCTGGTGCCGAAAACTCATCCGGTAGGGTTGGCTGCATGGGTGGAGGGCGGCGTTGGGCGCTGCCGTCCAGTCCAGATGAGGACATAGCCAGTGGCTGTAGAGAGGGACACCCTTGTGGGTCCGGGCGTGACTGCGGGGGCTGACACGCCGGGCTGGAGGACTCTCTGGATGACGGTTAGAGGGGAGGGGTGTCCAGGGCGACTCCCGGGTTTCTGGAGCAGGTGGCCCTCACTGTGCTGGGCACGGTACCGGAACATGGGGCGAAATGGTGCCCTGTTCTTTCAGTTAAACAACCTGTCCTCAGCTCTTCATCCTGCCAGACACTGGCTTTAGCAGTGGAACCTGAGTCCCAGCTGTCTTTGCCTGCCCAGGACTCCGTCCCCTCCTTCCTTCTAGACTCTCTGCTTCTGTGAATGCAGTCTTCACACTTGGCTGGCCACTCCCACAGAGACACGCCCAGAGCTCGTCCTGAGCGGTCACAGCCACGAGGCAGGTCCTGTCCTCATTTGGTGAGTGTAGCATGAAGACACAGAGAGGTCAAGCCGCTGGCCCCCGGTCTCACAGCTGTGACGGGGCAGAGCTGGGCGTTGAAGGCGGGCACCCGGCTCTGGGTCAGACGTTGAGCTCTGTCTCACCAAAGGCCGGGACTGGCATCAGGGCTGGCCTTGGACGGGCTGCTTCCTGCCCTTTGCCCTCTGTCGTGGCAGCTGGCACTGTCCACTGTGTCTCCCACTTGCCGGCAAACAGACGGGTCAACAGGGGGCTGCCCCTCGGGTTGGCACACACCCCGGTCAAGGCCAGCCTGCAGGTCATCCGGTCAGAGGACAGGAAAACAGGTGAGCGCGAAGCCACCTGCGGCGCCTGGGCCTCAAGATGTCAACACCGCCCCTCCCCCATGCTGCTTTCCGGTCCCTGGGACTCTCACCCGGGATCCCTCGTTCAGCAGCCGTGTGACTCCAGTAAGTGCATGACCTCCCAGGTGTCCCCCATGGTCACCTCGCAGGGCTGCAGCGTGAGTTGCACAGGGCATGCGTTGAGCCCCTGGGGTGACAGCCACCAAGGCAGACTCACTCATTGGGTCTCCCTCCCCACCCCCCGGCCGGTCCCAAGTTCACAGAGCAAGGCTGTGCCTGTCGCCGTCATGGCCGTGGACAAGACCCCTTTCTGGGCCTTGGCGTCTCCATCTATGAAATGGGGACCGTCGACACTGCCCTGCCTCCTGCCTGGGACGGGTGGATGCTTGGTCGGCCGTGAGGTGGGGCCCGTGTGCCACCGTGTTTACAATCATTGCCGGCGACCGCAGACCCAATGGCTTCTCAGAAGATGAGCCTTCCTTTGGGCAGTGCCCCAGCCAGCCCGGTCATCGGCTGTCCCAGTCCCTGATGGGCACTGGGGACTCAGTGGAGGCAGCCCTGGCCTCGGCCTCCAGGTCCGGGGAGACAGATTCAGGTGGAACAGAATATAGGGGACAGCGGGAGGGGTGGGGACAGATGGCGATGCTGTTCCCAGGAGGGCTCAGGTCAGCCCTGTCCTCATGCTCTGTCTTCGTGGCCTGCCGCCACCCACGGTGCCCTCTCTGCCAGCTCCTTGAGGACAGGGACTGACTGTTATTTGTCTGGGTGCAGCCTCAGCTCAGAAACCATTTGTTGAGGCCGGGTGCAGTGGTTCATGCCTGTACTCCCTGCAGCACTTTGGAGGCTGAAGTGGGAGGATCGCTTGAAGCCAGGAGTTCAAGACCAGCCTGGGCGCCCTAGAAAGACTCATTTCTAGCCAGGCTTGGTGGCTCAGCCTGTAACCCCGCGCCCTTGGGAGGCTGAGGTGAGTGGACTGCCTGAGCCCGCGGGTTCGAGACCCGCCTGGGCAGCGAGACCTCATCTCTACAATAAATCAAAAAATCAGCTGGGCGTGGTAGCGCACGCCTGTAATTCCGGCTACTCGGAAGGCTGAGGCGGAAGGATCGCTGGAGCCCAGCAGGCCGAGGCTTCGGTGGCCGGGAGCGGCCGCTGCACTCCAGTCTGGGCGACAGAGTGAGACTCCAATTCAAAATAATAATAATAATAATAATAATAATATAAACAAAGAAAATGCTTGTTGAATGAATAAATCAGGAACCTTTGAAGGTTCCCCAGGCAGGAGTCCTGAGAAAATTCAGGAGGTCGTGAGGACATGGTCAAGGCCCAAGCTTGGGCTTGGAGGGGTGAGAGCTGTCACCACCTGAGCTTTGGACCTTCCAAAAGGCGTCCAGATGTCGCAGGGGCAGGGATCTTGCTCCCTGGGGCCTGCCACCTGCTGGGTGGCCTCTCAGTACTTTCCTGGGTCCCGAGGCCACTGGGGCAAGGGGCCTGAGGGGTGGGTGGGAGGCCAGCTGCCTGGTGCAGCTCACTCTCTGCCCTCGGGCCACTGTCAACAGACTCTGGCCTCTGGTTCCAGCCCCTCTCCCCGCCCCCGCCCCAGGTATTTAAGGTTGGCGAGGAGGGCCTGGGGAGCTGTCCGGGCCACCCCAGCGGTGGCACCAAATCAGCCGGACCCAGGGCCTTCCCCACCACCCACCTTGATTCATGGATTTTGTTGCCGGAGCCATCGGAGGTGACAGACGGGGCCTGGGGGTGCCAGGGATCCCCGCAGGAGCTGGGGCGGGAGTGTCGCTCTGTCCCGGGGTCTTGGGGCAGCAGGGGGCTCGGAGGCGCGCCCCCAGAACGGGTCAGGGCCCGGTGTGGGCCGTGGGCGTCGGAAGGAGAGGGTGGGTTCCTGGGAGACTCTGGGCGGGCGAGTGGTGACACAGACGGCACCGGCCTGGGGGGCTTGGACAAGGGCTGAGGCCGTGAGGGGGGACGCTCGGGGGGGAAGAGGGTCAGGGGAGGCCAGGAATCCTCAGCGTGGGGAGGGGTGACAGCCATGGGAAGGGACGAGAGGCCCAGGAGAGGGCGGGGAGGGAGACAAGGAGGGAGACAGGGCCTGGGTCCCGGGGAAGCACCTGTCTGGGCCTGAGTTCGGCTCTGGGGTTCTCGACCGGTCCGAAGGTTGTCTTCCCGTCTTTGCTAAAGGTCAGGCCAGAGATAAGCAGCCCCCAGCAGGCTCGGAGTGGGCCGGGCCTTCCAGCCGTGGATCGTGGGCTGCGGGCTCTCTGGATGGAGACCCCCAGGCCCCGCCTGTCTTGTGAAACAGCTGCAGGATATCAGGCTTCTGGGGGCTCAGGAGGGGACCCGCCAAGCCGTGGAAAAGACGGACCCGGCCCGGTCTCGCTTACTCTGTTTTCTTTTCCTTTTTTTTTTGGAGTTGGGATCTGGCTCTGTTGCCCCGGCTGGAGTGCAGCGGCACGCTCATGGCCACCGTAGCCTCGGCTTCCTGGGCTCAGGGGATCCTCCCGCCTCAGCCTCCTGAGTCGCGGGAACTGCAGGCCTGGGCTACTACACCCGCCTCGTTTTTTAATCTTTGGTAGAGATGAGGTCTTGCTATGCTGCCCGGGCTGCTCCTCAACTCCTGGGCTCAAGCGATCTTTCCGCCTTGGCCTCCCAAGGTGCTGGAACTCCAGGTGTGCGCCACCACACCTGGCTACTTTTTTATTTATTTATTGTAGAGATGGGGTTTCGCCATGTCGCCCAGGCGGGTCCTAAACTCCCAGACTCAGGCAGTCCTCTCACCGCGGCCTCCCCACGTACTGGGATGACAGGCGTGAGCCACAGCGCCCAGCTTGACTTTTTCATAAATAGTAGCCGTCGTGACCGGTGTAAGATGGCCTCTCATTGTGGTCTTACTGGGCGTTCCTCTGATGAGCAACCCACGGGGGTGCAGGGGTCCCAGCCCAAGGTCAGCCACTTCCCTGAGTGTTACCCCCGGGTAAAGAGATCAGGGAGGGCTTCAGAGAGGAGGTGTTGCTGTGGCAGGGCTTTGATGGATGAATAGGAGTACGGGAGAATCAAGGAGAGTGATTCTACCCAAGCCACTAGGTCAGTCTTCTGCTTTACTCTATGCATTCATTCATTCACTTCATTCTTTCATTCATGCACGTTTCTTGAGTCCTGGAGTAAACAGGGCCCAGCCTTCACCCCCATGCCCCTCAGGGTAGGCTACAGTCGCCCAGGAGCTGCCTGTTCCCTCGTTGGCTGCTCCCTGGCAGTGCTGGGAGCTTGGACTTGAGGCCGTGGGGTCAGGAGGGGAGGAAGGACAGGATGGTGGCACCCGGCTCCCCTGCCAGAGGGCAGTGGGCCTTGGCCCGGCACTCAAGGCCAATCTGCATGCTGTGGCACGCACACGTGTGGTTCCAGGCAGTGCCGGCCCTTCGCCAAGCCCCGCGAGAGCCCGGGCTGTCCCTCCTCCTGGCCTCTGCCCCGCTGTCCCTCCCTGGCTCCACCCACTGCGGCCGAAACGCGGCTCCTCCCGGCGGGCAAGCAAACCCTCCACAGACGGGCAGCTTGGGGCAAAGTCTGCCCGGCTCGGAGACGGGGCAGTGGGGTCAGCAGAAGTTCCCTCCAAACACGACGCCCGCAGGGAGGCCGAGGACGTCTTTGGCCCGAGGCCGAGTGGACCAGGCACCCCTGGGCCGAGACTCAGTTTCCTCCCCTGCAAGACGGGGGGCGCTCTCGGGAGTCATGAGACCCTGGGTCAAGCAGAAGGGCCGAGTGTGGGCTTGGGGCCACGCGGGGGCTCGGCCGGGGCTCGCCCTCCTCCTCCTCCTCCTCCCCCTCCTCCCGTCGGATGGGCTCGAACCCCACGCTGGCCATGTCCCCCCCTCCTCACCGTGTCTCTGCTTTCCTTCCAGGCATCTGCGGTGTCGCTGTGGGCTACCCCCTGGACACAGTGAAGGTGCGGCCGTAGCCAGCCTCAAAGGCACCCAAGGCCCCTGCACCCCACCCAGAACTTTCTAGAATGCTAGTCAGACCCAGCCCTCCCCTGCTCACACACTTCAGCGGCTCCCATGGTCCTTGGCTATGCCAGTCCCTCGTTCTCACCCCCGGGGCCTCAGGGTCCTCATCTGAGTGAGTCTCGTCTGTCACAGCCCAGCATGGCTGTGACAATCAAGAGGGTGACTTGCCCCCTTTCCCGGGCCTGCTGACATCGCCCTGGAGCCAGCCTTTCCTGAAGCCTGCTTCTCCCCTAGGTCAGGATTCAGACAGAGCCCAAGTACACAGGTGTCTGGCACTGCATCCGGGACACGTATCGCCGAGAGCGGGTAGGCCTGCACCCAGGGGACAGGCAGGGGACAGGGTGGGGGACGTCAGGGTCTCGAGCCCCAGGCCTGCCGCTCACTGACCCAGTTGGAAGTGGGTCCCTCGGATGGGTGCCGGGGTGTCCCACATGTCGGAGGGCTCATAAGGAGGGTCTGCCTCTAGCAGAGGCTCTTGGGGGTGGCGTTTGGGCACAGGCCTGTGGGTTGCGTTTCTGTCCCCTCCGGGCCCTTGACGGCAGCGGGTGGGCTTGTCCGACGTCCTCAGGGTCCAGCTCAGAGCTTCCTCCAGAGGCAGGGCTTGGGGACGTTTCCCAGCCTGAACGTGGGCTCAGACGGGCCAGGGCTTAGCTCGGGGACAGTGGCCAACGTCGGATGTGCCAGTCCCCGTCACCACCATCAGACAGCAACCCTGGCTTGCCCACCCTCGGTTCCCTCAGTCCCTCACCCAGCCTCACACGTGGAGTATCACGGTCCCCGTCTCACAGCTGGGGAAACTGAGGCCCTGAGGCAGCCGGCAACCTGCTAGAGGTGCTGCAGCGACAGCATGGAGCAGGACGCGTGTCCACCCCTGGGGCCGGGCTCCCTTGGGTGGCCCCGGTTCCCGGCCGGCCGCCAGCCTGACTCGGGCCCTGTCCCTAGGTGTGGGGCTTCTACCGGGGCCTCTCCCTGCCCGTGTGCACCGTGTCCCTGGTCTCATCCGTGTCCTTCGGCACCTACCGCCACTGTCTTGCGCACATCTGCCGGTTCCGTTACGGCAGCGCCGACGCCAAGCCCGCCAAGGCCGACATCACACTTTCAGGATGTGCCTCTGGCCTGGTCCGCGTGAGTGGAGCGGGGGAGACTTCAGAGAGCTGAGAGGTCCCTAGGGGGGAGACCGAGGCTTGGTGAGGGCAGAGACTGGAGGCCACACGTGGGGTGCGCCGGCATCCCGCCCAGGCCGGCCCTGGGGTCCCCTCTGCGGCCTGGGTGAGAGGTCGCGGCCGTCCTGCGCAGCATGGTCCTGTGGGGAGGCCTGGGGACCCCAGAGAGACGGGACGTCCCCAGGAAGCCACCACGGGGAGCTGGCTGGGCAGGCCTGGGGCCACTCAGCGGGGAGGCCCCGCCCTCACGGAGCCCACAGCCGGGGACACAGACTTGGACCCATGACAAGGCGACAGCGCCGTCCAGAGCAGCCCAGAGGCTGAAGCCCTGGCCGATGGGTTGAGACGCTTGCGTGGGCAGAGCTGGCTTTGGAGCGCGGGTCCTGGGGTGTGTGCAGAGCCGTGGGCACCATCTTGTCCCTGCCTCCTCTGCCCCAGGTGTTCCTGACGTCGCCCACCGAGGTGGCCAAGGTCCGCCTGCAAACGCAGACGCAGCAGCGGCGTCCCTCGGCCTCGTGGCCCGCGGCTGTGCCGCCCGGGTGTCCTGCGGCCCCCGTGTGTGCGGTCCCCAAGTACCGCGGGCCGCTGCACTGCCTGGCCACGGTGGCCCGTGAGGAAGGGCTGCGTGGCCTCTACCAGGGCAGCTCGGCCCTGCTCCTCCGGGATGGCTACTCCTTTGCCACCTACTTCCTCTCCTATGCCATCCTCTGCGAGTGGCTCACCCCTGCTGGACTCAGCCAGCCAGGTGAGGGCGGCTGGGAGGCAGAGGCGAGGTCGTGCCCACGCTGCGCCGGGGGACTTGAAGCCAGGCCTCCTGCTGCCAGGGCGGGACCTCAGTGTCTCAACACCCAGGAGCCAGGAGACCCACTGTCAGTCCCCACGTGGCCTTGGGCGAGCCGTGCTCCCCTCCCCCAAGCCTCAGCGTCCCCACTTACAAAACGAGGGTGGGCCGGGAGACGGTCCCGGGCTCATGGCGGTTGGGCCTCTGCCCTGGGCGCCCCGAGTGGGCTCCCGGCCACGGTGCCATGGTCTCTCCGCAGATGTCCCAGGTGTGCTGATGGCGGGCGGCTGCGCAGGTGTCCTGGCCTGGGCTGTGGCCACCCCCATGGACGTGATCAAGTCGCGCCTGCAGGCGGACGGGCAGGGCCGGCGCTGCTACCGGGGCCTCCTGCACTGCGTGGTGACCAGCGTGCGGGAGGAGGGCCCGAGTGTCCTCTTCAAGGGGCTGGCGGTCAACTGCTGCCGGGCATTCCCTGTCAACATGGTGGTCTTTGTCACCTACGAGGCAGCGCTGAGGTTCGCCCGGGGCCTGCTCACGTAGCTGGCCCCCACGACCCTGTGGCCCACCCACCGGCAGCGGCCACGGGTTGGAGTAGCCGGAGGTGACGCCGGGTTCCCCGGGCCATCGTCCGGGACAGCCAGGAGCCTCCCCGCGTCCGAGACCTGGGCGTGGCCTGCCCAGCTACGGACCCCAGGATGGCCAGGGCCGGCCTGAGTCGCGAGCAGGGAGGCGTGGCCTTGTGGAGCAGGAGGTCGGTCCCCTGGAGCCATTTGTCATTGGCCAGCTGTTCATTCCAGCTTCCCACGGCTCCGCCCCACCCCGTGTCGTCAGAGTACCCCAGACTCAACTGTGCAGTTCCACCCTCTATTCCCCCTGGCTACCCTTCACACCCACTGCTGTTTCGTGTGCTCGTCTTGCGTGGTTCCATCACACACGGCCCCCCTAGGCGGGCTCAGCTGGTCCCCCACCAGGCTGGGGGCTTTGGGGCGGTGAGGCCGAGCTGGGCTGACGCCATTGCCGCCGGGCGTGTTCTCTGCCCAGTTGCTCCGAGGAGGCCGTGCCCACCTGGTTCTGGCTGGGCCCGGGGGTCGCCGTCCTCACCCAGTTGGGGGCCTGGGGACCAGGTTTAGTCAGGCATCCTCACTCTGCCTGTAGACACTGGCCCTGTCATGGGAAGACCCCAAAGCCTCGGTCGGGAACTATTGCCAATAACATGCTCTGAGGCTGTCAAGGGTGGTGCTGTGTGGTCTGTGGAGCTGATCCGTTTTCCTATCCCATCCTGTTCACCGTGAAGCCTGCCTGTCCCGAGAGGTGTGGGCCATGGCCTTGTCCCCTCCCTTCCTGCTGGACATGCCCTCCACTGAGTGGCCAGTGCTCCTACTGTGCAGATGGGCGCACTGAAGCCCGGCCCACTGCTCAGGCTTCTGGGCTGTGGCACCAAGTCCTGCCATAGAGGCCGTTCCACAAGACACCTGCTCTCCTGGCCACCCTGTCCCCAAGCTGAGCGAGACCTTGTTCCCGCCAGGGCCTCCCAGCTGCCCCGGCAGTGAGCCACCCTCAGAGGGCTTCAGCAGGCACACAACTGGCCACGGCCGCCTGGTGCCGGGGCAGCTGCAGAGGAAGGGGGCTCGCCATGGTCATGCAGGGGAGGGAAGGTGGGCTCATGCCTGGGCTCGGGGGCCCCTGGCTCCTGCCCCTGACACCACGCGGCTTCTGGGGAGAAGGGCCGCCGGAACCGGGGCCGGTGGCCCCCTGCCTCAGTGACATTCGCTCACAGACACCACCCTCCGCTGTGTCTAGGGACTACATGGCGTCTGGTGTTCTGTGGACAAACCTCTCCTACTCCCAGGACAAGGACAGGACCCCCCCCCGTGCCTGTGCCCGCCCCTGTCATGCTGGTCCCCGTATTGCTGTGCTCTTGGGTGTGGAATGAATGAATGCGTGAATGAGTGAAGTCCAGGGGCAGATTCCTGGAGTTCATCCAGCTTAGAGATTAAAGAGGCCAAGATGTTCTCTGGTCCAAGGTTCTGGTCCTTCACCAAACCCTGATCCCATGCCCGCTTGTCACGATGACCATGCTAGCTTTGGCCCCGGAAGGGGGCTTCCTGGCAGTGCTCTGGGCTCCTGGCTCCTGCTACGCCTGTCACTGAGTGTGGGGTACTCTCTGGAACCACCCGGTGGCGAGGACCAGCACCCTCGTTAAGAATGGGGACGGGAGGGGGAAGGGGCTGGCCAGAATCGCACGATCGGGCACCAGCAGGGTCGGAAACGAGGCGGCTTTCAAAGTCAAGGCTGGGTTTGAGATTTCAAGGAGGGCAGGGGGCACGTAACATCAATAAGCGCACCTGATCGCAAACCAGGCAAAGGGGGACTTTACCTGCACGATGACCCCTTGTATACCCAATCCTGAATTGTACCCCACATCTTTATAATAAATAAACGTTGCCATGTCCAAGCAGTGGGCGTAGCCAGAGGGAAAATCAGCGGCCCAGACCCATTCCCGTGGCCCCACGGCTGTTCCGTGCCACGCATTGTCCCCGTGGCAGGCAGCTCAGCCGGTCTCCTCCTCAGGCTGCGGACGGCGGGGCTGGGCGGTCTGGTTGGGCCGCACCGCCCAAGGGGATGTTACCAGTCGGAACTGAGACTGCTGCTGCAGCAGGACACCCTGCACCAGGCTCCCGGTACCCACACAAGCCCACCGCAGCTGAGCACCCCATCCAGGCAAGGCTCTCTTCTGCCATAGTGGCCTTGGGCGTGTCACTGACCACTATACCCAGGGACCCTCCCAAGACACCAAACAGGACATCACTGCTTTCATCCTCTGAAGGAGGAGATGGAGGTGCCAAGAAGTCAGGAGATGGTGCGGTGTCCCCAATAAACCAGATTTTCTACTCTTTTTAAATTTTTATTTTATTTTTGAGTTAGAGTTTCACTCCGTCGCCCAGACTGGCATACAGTGGCCACTCCCGGCCACTGCAGCCTCGACCCGCTGGGCTCCGGCGATCCTTCCGCCTCAGCCTTCCAAGTAGCTGGATCTAAAGGTGCGCGCTACCACGCCTGGCTAGTTTTTGATTTATTGTAGAGATGAGGTCTCGCCAAATTGCCCAGGCAGGTTTCGAACCCTCAGGCTTGGGTAATCCACTCACCTCAGCCTCCCAAAATGCTGGGATTACAGACTGAGCCACTGAGCCCAGCTTGTTTTTCTACTCTTAAAACCTGCCTGGGCAACTTGGCGAGACCTCATCTCTACAATAAATCAAAAACTAGCCGGGCGTGGTAGCATGCGCCTGTAGTTCCAGCTACTCGGAAGGCTGAGGTGGAAGGATCACTGGAGCCTCGCAGGTCGAGGCTGCAGAGGCTGGGAGTGGCCACTGCACTCCAGTCTGGGCAACAGAGTGAGATTCCAACTCAAAAAAAAAAAAAAAGAGCTTAAGGGACCTGGACAGAGTCACCTGGCCAGTGAGGGAGTTGGTTGGTGCCGGCTCACCCCTCCCTGTGCCTGAGCCTGGCCCAGGTCCTATCAGATGTTCCAGCTGGGTGGACAATGACAGCAGCAGCTCTGCTGTCCTGGGGACGTTACATGCCACACTTCTCACCTGCACGCATGCACCTGTGACACGGGTGCAGTGGAGCTACGAGAAGTGGCCAGGGTGATGTGGAGAGCTACCTATGAGTGGCCAGGGTGACGTGGCTAGTGGCCACACCATCCTCTGTGCCTGGGTTGCCCTGCTGGCCGTAGCCAGCCAGGTGAGAAGGGGCTGGGCTCGGGAGGTGGGGGAGGAGTTCAGCCCAACAGGAATGGAGGCTGGGAGAGGAGGCCCGGTGAGAATGTGCTGCACACCGCACCTGAGGGGACTTGAGTGCTGCCTCCAGCCTCTTGGGGTGGGAACCTTGCTCCCTCATTTGTAAAATGGCCCGTGTGTGTGTGTAGAAATAGGAGTGCCAAGTCAGGACAGCCACCTTGTCACAAGGCCACCGTGATGCCCTGGACAAGGCATGTTCCCCTCGTTCCCCTCTTCCAAGTCTGTTTTCCCACATGCAAGATGAGGCTGGCGGGGTGGAGAGAGCCCAGAGCTTCTCTGCAGTGGCCCTGCCTGGGCCCCCCGTGGACAGGCCTATGCCTGTCACATGGCACACCCAGCACCCCACGGTGGGCCCCGCCTATGAAAGCTGAGGGTCACACCAGCGTGCATCCTCCTCGGGTGGCTGGAAATACCAGGAGGCGTGGGAGAGCCCGCAGAGCTGTCAGGGCTGTCCTGGTACGAGTGCCAGCCAGCACCAGCCGGGCCCCAGGAGCCTGCGTCAGCTCTGTGGGGTGCCCGGATGTTTCATTCCCAGATGTGACCCCAGCGGATTCTAGGAGCCCGTGCTCCCTCCTCAGACCTCCTGGAGACAGCACAGTCATACGGTTTATTTATCCCTACGGGCGGCAGGAGGGCAGAGCACTGGAGAGGAGACCCAGACACGTGAGGGGAGGGCTTCCCAGAGGTGCAGCTTTACTTGTCCAAGTCATGCAGGGTGTGGGCCTGAGTGTGGCCCACCAGACTCCTGTGTGGGCCTCGAGGGACGCTGTGGTTTTCTCTCTAGCTACGTCCACTGCCTGGACATGACCAGTATACTGCTCTGTGCTGACATCCACTTCAATCCAGTGGCAAAACAAAAGCAAAAGCCACAGATCCCCGCAGCTGCCACCGGCTTTTGCAGGGTGACATGTCTAGGATCAATTGCTAGAGGTCTGGGCATGCAATCTGGAGTAGAACACATGTATATCTGAAGTGCAGTGCAGAGTTTCACCCACAAGACTCAACTTACTAAAAGCTGCCCACCTCTGTCCAGTGATCAGTGTAAAAAGCAGCTTTAAAGCTGGTGACTTCTTAGCCAAGTGTACAGCAAAGTTTTCATCTATCAGGTTTTGTGGCAAGGGCTAAAAGACACCTGTGCTCATTAAACTTTTCACGTCCATTTTTTTCAAGCACTTTTAGTTTTAGTCATGACATTTGGATTCCATAGATGCATACAGAAGAGTCATTTTTTTACAGAGCAGGTGTGGAGAATACATTTGGCACCCCACGATACTTTCAGACAGTCCTCAGTGGCCATGGACCTGCAGCCGAAGGCTCCATGCCAGGGCTGCTTTGTGGGGAGACCCCCAGCTGGACTGCTCTATCTGATTGCACAGAGACAGCCAACACCCGATCATCCACAAGAGACAGAAATGAATAAAGAAACAGCATTGATAACGCACAGACTGATACACACCAGGCCTGGCAATGACCCTGTGGCAGGGACTACCGTGGGTGGCGCTTTGCTTGGGCTGGGATTATTGGGAAGTTACGGTTCTCGAGGAGCACGTTGCTTGTAAAGGAGCTTCACTGAAAGTCAAAGATTAGCTTCCGGGGCCTCATGAACTCCTTCACGACCTCGTCCGTGACCTCCTTGCGCCGGGCCTGGTGCTCAGCTACCAGGGGCTGCAGGACGTCGATGAGCGCCTTCTTGAGCTCCCCGGTGAGCATGGCGCCGCTGCTGTAGTCCTGGGGGGAAACAGAACGCTGTCAGCAATGACTCCGGCACCCAGCCCTGCTGCCTGCATTGGCCCCCAGCTCAGCCATGCCTCCATGCAGAGCCTGGCACGTGCGGGGCACGCAGATGTGTGATCCGTGGCAGTATCCCGCACCTTGAACGATACTTTTTGTTTGTTTTTTTTGAGTTGGAGTCTCACTCTGTCGCCCAGACTGGAGTGCAGTGGCCGCTCCCGGCCACCGCAGCCTCGACCTGCTGGGCTCCGGTGATCCTTCCGCCTCAGCCCTCCGAGTAGCCGGAATTACAGGCATGCGCTACCACGCCCGGCTGATTTTCTGATTTATTGTAGAGATGAGGTCTCGCTGCCCAGGAGGGTCTTGAACCCACGGGCTCAGGCAATCTGCTCACCTCAGCCTCCCAAAGGCGTGGGATTACAGGCTGAGCCACTGAGTCCGGCTGTTTTTTTTTTTTTAAAGCAGGATTTATTAAGAGGGAACCTGAAGGGGTTGCCCTACACTTTTCTAAAAGTGACTAGAAACCGGGCTTTGACCAGGCCACGCTTGCCCACACTGGACCACTCCAAGTACACCAAATGCTACACCTGTCAGCCTTAGCTTCTAGAAGGCTCTGCTGACCTTTTGTCTTTTTCTGATTATAATGCATGCTCATTAAAAACCACAAAGCAGCAGCAAGGTGAAAAAAAAATCACCTGCTATTCGAGTCAATGCCCAGAGGTTGGGGTCCACTGCTAACGCGTGGCATATTTTCTTTGAATTTTTCCCCTGCGCATTTGATTTAAATCGCTGCATTTTTCAACTTGGAATCCTTTATTATCATCATAGGCATATTCTCCTTTTTTTTTTTAAGTTGAAGTCTCACTCTGTTGCCCAGACTGGAGTGCAGTGCACGCTTCCAGCCACTGCAGCCTCGACTGCTGGGCTCCGGCGATCCTTCCGCCTCAGCCTTCCAAGTAGCTGGAACTACAGGTGCGTGTTAACACGCCTGGCTAATTTTTGACTTATTGTAGAGATGAGGTCGCACCAAGTTGCCCAGGTGGGTCTCGAACCCACGGTCTCAGGCAATTCACTCGCCTCAGCCTCCCAAAGTGCTGGGATTACAGGCTGAGCCACTGAGCGCGGCCTAAAACTCTCTTTTTTAAAAACTTAAGGGGTCTTGCTCAGGCTGGATTCAAATTCCCAGGCTCAAGTGATTCTCCTGCCTCAGCTTCCCCGCCTCCCCAGTGGCTGGGACCAGGGGTGCACACATCACCCCCGGCGCACTAAAGCTCATTTTCTTCTGTTGTAGAGTCCGTTCTGAATTTTTTTTTGCCTGGATCATTTTCAACGTCTTTTTGTGGAAGACTTTTTCTTATTCAGGATTATCTCCTTGGAAAAAATTTTAAGAAACTGGAAAACTGGAGGCGAAAGCTCTGGGCATTTTTGGGCTCCTTGTAGCAACTGCCATACTGCTCACAAGGCTGTGCCCTACTCACCGGGCATGCCTTGAGAGAAGCGTCGGGTTTGTGGACAGTGACGACAATGCTAGGCAGCAAATCCCCGACTAACTTGGTAGGAGAGTGGCTGTGACGCGGATGGTGTTGGCCTACACTCACTGCATGGCTAGTGAGATGAGGCTCTCTGTGTGGCTGCTAAAGAGACAGCCACCTGCATCTGCTCTTGTCCTGCTCGTGAGCACCTCAGCACACGGCTAGTTGTGCGACCCTACTGTCTTCAGTTCTTGCGGCCCAGGTACTAGGAGGCTCCCACCAAGCCCTGATGCCCCTTGGGCTCCACGCCCACCTTCCTGATCTGCTCGAGCCTGTCGTCGTCCTCGAGGAAGAAGGTCAGGTACATGAAGGACACGTCCACGTCACAGTCGCCCCCCAGCTCCCGGTGCTCCTCGACGGTGGCTCTCCCTCCAGAAAACGCGTGCTTGTTGACCTGCATGGGAGGGAATGGAAACGCCTGAGGAGTGGGGGTCAAGCCAGTGAGCGCCATTAGACTGCACCCACGGCAGGCCACGGTGCATGGGGTGGGAGGGCCCTGCCACTGCACCTTCCTGCAGGGCCTGGGCGTGAGCGACAGCAGGGCTCGCGGCGGGGGGAGCAGATTAGCTTTGAATGCTGCTCTCCTCAGAGACACAGGAGAACGGAGTCAGGAAAACCTGAGCACTAACGGGGCTGACATCTTGGGGAACTGTCCTGCGGTATTCTCAGAAGATGGGCTTAGGAAAAAGGGGGAGTGAAAGTCATCTTCAGAGCAAAGGAGGCATCTTCAGAGCCGGAAGGACAGCTGCGCTCTGGGACATGTGCTGCTGTGTGAATGGGGGCAGAAGGGCACCCCAACCCCCACTGGGTTCCTGCCTTCTCCGCCATGGAGACCAGCACAAGAAGGAACAAGAAAAAGGCTAAGGCCAGGTGAGGGCCCACTCTGGCAATCACTTAAGCCCAGGAGGTTGAGACCAGCCTGGGAACACAGCGAGACCGCGTCTCTACGAAAATTAAAAAATTATCTGGGCATGGTGGCACGTGCCTGTAGTTCCAGCTACTCGGGAGGCTGAGGTGAAAGGATGGCCTAAGTACAGGAGGTTGAGGCTACAATGAGCCATGATCGTGCCATCGCACTCCAGCCTGGGCAACGGTAAGACCTCAACTCAAAAGAAGAAAAAAGAGAATAAGGTTAAGAAGGGAAAGCAAAGCTCACAAACGCAAGGAGGTAGGAACTGAGAAAAGCTCAGAAACTAATAAACCGGTTTTAGAAAACACTGTAGATAATCTTGGCGTAATCAGGGCCAGGAGATAGGAAAAAGCCAGAAAGGATGGACAACATTCCTTCAACATTCCTTCCAGCATGCATTTGAGAAACCTACTGTGGCCAAATATTATCCTTATTATTATTATTTGTTTTTTTGAGTTGGAGTCTATTATTTTAATGGGAAAAAGGGTGAGCAGGGTCGATGAATTCAAAGTTGCTACAGTTAGTGAGTCTCCTCAGAAGAATCTAGAGCAGATTACCCACTGGGTGAATGGGTGAGCCTAGAAGCCACAGCTAAACTTTAAGGGCAAAGGTCGCCATGAGGAATTTTGGGGCCGAAGGAGCCCATCTTCTCGGGCACTGCCAGGAGGTGGAGGTGGAGCTGGCAGGTGGGTGGGGCTGAGGGCTAAAAGAATTAAGGGAACAAATGTAAGTTCATCTTCCCTTTCCTTTAAAAAAAAAAGAAAAGGTGCTGGGCTCGGTGGCTCAGCCTGCAATCCTGCGCCTTTGGGAGGCTGAGGTGAGTGGATTGCCTGAGTCCGCGGGTTCGAGACCCGCCTGGGCAGCGAGACCTCATCTCTACAGTAAATCAAAAAATAAGCCAGGCGTGGTAGTGCATGCCTGTAATTCCGGCTACTCAGAAGGCTGGGGCGGAAAGATCGCTGGAGCCCAGCAGGTCGAGGCTGCGGTGGCCGGGAGCGGCCACTGTACTCCAGTCTGGGCGACAGAGTGAGACTCCAACTCAAAAAAAAAAAAAAGTTATAGAATAAAAAAATTAATTTATGCAAACTTCAAACACTATGGAAAATACCACATAAGCGGAAGAGAAAACCCCAGTCCTGGCCACTCCTAGGGTCTCAGGACCTAGGAGTCACCGGCTATGTGGCAGTGCCACCCTCCCCACTGGGTCTCGGGGGAAGAAGCTCCCGTGTCAGGAAGAATGTGAGGACAGAGACCCCCAGGCTCCAAGGCAGCTGTGAAAGGCCAGTTTCCAGCCCTCTGTTGGAGAGGACAAGGACCCTTGTGTCTGCTACACGGGCACTACCACCCTTGCACATGACCCCACCCTGGGCGAAGCCCCCAACGGTGGGAACACAGCAGACATCACACATGAGGGCTGCTGGGATTGTCACACACACTTCGTCCCCAGCCACCCAGTGGCCTCTCAGTGCTTTTTCCATTTTACAGGTGAAGAAAACCAGTGTCAGAACCTGGACTGCCAGGGTGGTGGCTCACCCCTGTCATCCCAGCACTTTAGGAGGCAGAAATGAGAGGATTGCCTGAGCCCACAAGTTTGAGACTAGCCTGGGCAACATGGCGAGACCTCATCTTTACAATAAGTAAAAAATGAGCTGGGTGTGGTAGCACACGCCTGTAGTCCCAGCTACTCGGAAGGCTGAGGCGGAAGGATTGCCGGAGCCCAGCGGGTCGAGGCTGTGGTGGCCAGGAGCGGCCACTGCACTCCAGTCTGGGCGACAGAGTGAGACTCCAATTCAAAAAAAAAAAAAAAAAAAAGAAAAAGAAAAAGAACCTGAAAAGAGGGCCAGGCCAACTTGTCTTGGCCCACCAGCCTTCTGGGTAGAGTGGCTCCAGTCAGCCTCCTTGGGGTCTGGCGGGTCCTCGGTGATGCTGGGGAACAGTCTGCAACGCCTGACTGACAGGAAAGTGGGCTTGGGATGAGGTGGAGAGCAGTCTTAGAGTACTGCAGCCAGGGCCTAATGTGATGGAAATGGGTGGCTGCTGTTACTCTGTGTGACAGGAAACGATGCCAAGGGGACACAGCCTGCCAGGTGGTGTTAGGATTCTGGTAGGTCACACAGGCCAGCAAAGCCACCTAAGTCACCGGCACTGTGTTAACACTGTAATTTTTAAAATTTTAGAGATGGAGTCTCACTATGTTGCCCAGGGTAGAGTGCAGTGGCTGTTCACAGCTCACTGTAGCTTCCAGCTCCCGGGTTCAAGTGATCGATCCTTCCAGCCTTGCCGGTAGCTGGGAATCCAGGTGTCGACCACCAAGCCTGGCTTAACCTGCTGTTATTTCTGGAAGGAGGCTGGAGCAGATGCCCGCTCTTCTCTGGGGATTCTGACCCTGGAGCTGGAATGTCGTGGGGAGGAAGAGCCAGGCCTGGCCTGCCCCTGTCCTGTCCTACAGTTGCTCCTTGGCCTGTTGGCTCCTGACCTCATGCTCCCTGCTCACCTGGCCCTTGCAGTCTCTGCTGGACCCTAACTGAATGGTAAGTGCCCCGGAGCCATAAGCAACTTTCTCAAAACAACTTCTCAAAAGCAAAACAAAACATGACTTCTCCACTGATGCTTTCCTCCACCCATCTATTCTCTGTGCTCTGGAAGTTTCGCCTAAAAACGAAAGGGAAAGAAAGTGCCCCGATTGCACCGGCTTCCAAATGAGTGGCAGAGGTCGTTTCCTAGATTTTGATACAAAGTGTTTCCCCATTGTCAGCCAGAACCACTTGGGACTTTCCAGAAGAGTCAGGGCCTGACTGTGACTCAGAGGGTCGAGTTACAACCTCGCCCACATACAGTTCCCATCACCCCTGCTGCAATCTTCCCACTCGCAAACACATGCCTGATTCCCAGGAAACATCGGTGGCTTTGTGCAATAGGGGGTGAGGCAGGTCAGTGCCATGTGACAGGCTGGGGCCCGAGAAGTAAGGACACTTAACTCATTTCTATTTCTCGTTTCTCTGGTGATGTGACAAATATTTACTGAGTGCCTGCATTACTCCCAGGGCCGGCAGGACCGTCCTGTCGAAGGACATTTATCAATTCTGCCTCTCAGTGAGATGCTCTCTGGGAGAACAGCAGTGCCTAACCCCCCTGGAATGGCTGCCGTGGCCAGGCCGGAGCTGTTGACTTCTGGGGGAGACTTGGCCACGTAGGTGTCCTCCCTCAGCCTCTTCTCTCATCTTTTTTTCCCAATAAAAACAATGCCACAGCATTTACTGTCATCTTGTAATGACAAGGGCAATCAAAACCATATGAACAAATGTTTTAGAACTATACTCCAAACAAAGAACACCTCAAAAAAACCAAACTCTATTGCCTTCTCAACAATTTTTTACTTCATTGATCATTCCTAATTGGAGACGCTTTGTGGCTGGGCAATGCCATCTTCGTTTGGCATGATCCAACCCAGTTGTCTTCTTGACTTTGTTTTAGAATGAATATCTTCTGCATCATCTAATATGAGGTTCATATACTCATCAAAAGCAACGAAACGGCCCTTTGTCTGCGTAGTCATAAAGCCACACTGAACCCAGGATCTGTTTTGCAAGTATCTGAAGATGAGGTGGATGGGCTCCTGCATTTCTGCACTTCCTGGCCCTGACCATGGTAAGCCATGGTGGAGTCTCACAAAATGACACACATGCTCCCTCAGAAAGCAATTTCCGGAATAAAGAGTCTTCTTTCATCTTTAAAAAGAGCAGTACCAGCTGGGCACGGCACCTCCCAGCACTTTGGGAGGCTGAGGTGAGAGGACTGCGTGAGCCTATGGGTTCAAGATCAGCCTGGGCAACTTGGCGAGACCGCATCTCTACAATAAATCAAAAAAATTAGCCAGGCGCCGTGGTGTATGCCTGTAGTTCCAGCTACTTGGAAGGCTGAGATGGAAGGGTTGCCTGAGCCCAGCAGGTCGAGGCTGCAGTGGCTGTGAGCGTGCCACTGCACTCTAGCCTGGGGGACAGAGTGAGAATCCAACTAAAAAAAAAATAAATAAAAATAAAAATAAAAATGAGGATTAAAAATGAGAAAACATAAATAAGGTACCTGGCCCGGAACCCAGAGCACAACTGGTAATCACCACAGCCTCGATCTCCTGGGCTCAGGCAACCCTTCCACCTCAGCCTCCTGAGTAGCTGGGACTATATAGGCATGTGCCACCATGCCCAGCTTATTATTATTATTTCTTTTTTTAATTTTTTTTTGAGTTGGAGTCTCACTCTGTCGCCCAGACTGGAGTGCAGCGGCCGCTC